TCGTTACAAAGAGGGACTCAACCTTGGAGTTTTGGCTTGAGTAGTACAGTTATAGTCTAGGGGCATGTACTGACCAGACATCTTTTGACTGTCGACTGGCCGATCTATCTAGAAAAATTTGACTCAACTTAGGCTCTGATACCACTAAATGCAATCCCCTCAAACAAATGCGAGTGGCCTAATCCGATTCGGGTGTCACATTAGGGCTAACAGAGCGACCCACCGTAAAAATCCCGGAAAAATTAAAATTTTAGTTAAAACATGTAAAATCATAAAACAATTTATAAACACAACAGAAAAATTTAACAATATTAAGAAATGAAACAGATTCCAAACTTGGATATAAAAACAAAATACAACCTACATGCCCCCTAATCACATACACCGTACTTCGCAAGCAACGCCGGTAAAACTCCTTTACATATGTCAATAGCTACATATGTTTGATTCTTTTAACCTAAAATAGTGAGTTAAAGAGTGAGCTTTGAGAAGTTTAGTGATGTAAAACTACCTATTGATGTAACATGATATGCAGATAAATGTAGAATAATAAAATTTCCTTATTGAATCAGACGTGTACAATTTTCGGGATAAGCTGGGGCTCCACTGGTATTTTATCGAGTAAAAGCCATGAAGATCTCAGTTCATAGAAAACATTCAGAGTACAATGTTTTTAGGAGATTGGAATAGGGTGTCTAGTGTGTTCTCACCAAAACCAATGAAAAGATATAGATCTCTTTAAAATAATGACCGTTTAAAACATGTTTTCAAAACCTTAGTAAAACCTTCCAACCGAACACCGTTATGCAGTTCCCCAGAATTGCATCCATAAGGGCTTACCTTAAGCACACAGAAAATGGAGCCACCCTAAGGGAATGCCTTAGGGCCCAAGAGCCTACCCAAGAATCACCTCAGGGCCGTAAGGATTTATCAGCTGGATCAGGGCTGAACCTCCATACTCCAGAATTCTACCCATATAAAAATCCAACAGAAAGCAGTTTTAACAATAAACCGTAATATTTGGATCGTGATCCAGTAAAATCTTGTAAACATGATAATGAAATAAACCATATAACTACCCTCCACCTATATACCATATGTAGTCCGATGATTAACCCAAGGGGGTGCCTTGGGGCCTGAGAGCCTACCCAAGGGTCACCTTAGGTCTGTAAGGATTTACCAGCTTGATCAGAGCTAAACCTTTAGCCTACCCAGATAATGTCCCAATAAAATAGTTCAAGTAGTAATCGGTGAAAACAAAAAACCATAGTTCATAAATCAGTAAATTCCATGATTCCATAAATAAGGAACAATTCATATTTTTCGGTGCCATAATTGGAGAACACATACCATGTATCCATGTTTAATAATCCAGTAAATCAATAAATTTCTGTAAAATGCATTTCAAAACATATAAAACAATAATGTAGTACATGGGAACACACTAGAAGATCAGGGTATTTTTCAGAAGCACATAATAGTTATCAAGAAAACATGAAATTCATGTAATTTGATCGGATTCCAGAAATGAGGTCCTATTGAAATGGATCGATTGCTAATGGATATAATCAAAAATTTAAAGTTAATACTTTAGAATCATGCTATGATTCAGGTACATCAAGAAGGTGTTTAGGAACCTTTATACAGAAGAATTCTAGATGCAAATTCACTGAGAGTGATTCATGGTATTCAAGATTCATGTCAATTTATTATGATACCGAGTTAACTAAAACTGATCAAATCCCAACATTGTGATACCTGCCAACCACTTTAATACCGACATCACTAGTCGAACTGATCATCTTTAAAACCATCGTTGAACTGAGATTGAGGAACTCTACTTATTCCGATGGTATTAGCTCAACTTATGAATTGCAACAGTCTCCAAGATGACCAACGCACTTGAGTCATACTCCCCAACTTTTTATGGGCGATACCATATTTAGTTTTTCTTAGTGTTTCCAGAATTTATCCAATAACATTCACTTATTCTTTTGCTCATAAAGGTATTTAGGTCATTTAGTAGTTAAATATATCTCAACCACCTCGGAGTTTCCAGAGTAATTTGGACGTTTCTGAAATTTTGATACATACAATACTCCCATTCAGTTTAAGTTGTTCATATAATAAAGTCATTTTGGTATTCGAGGTTGATTTATTCATTTAAGAACTTGAGGGTATTTAGTTATTACAGTGCTTAGACGTTCATTTGGTTATTTTATATTTCAGGGCATTCCTATATAAATCTGGACTTTAAATCGATAATTCCAAGGTTCAAGTGTATCAAGATATGAGTTCTCAGATCGTCTTCATTGTCCTAGCAATCCATTGTGCTTTTTATTCTATAAGCGTAGCATCATCATCATTTCATTCAAATATGACATTGGCATATTTTCGATAAATTAGGCTTGAATATATTCTAATTCCTTTAGCGTTCAGGGTATTTTGTTTCTTTGATCATTAGAGGTTATTATAGTAATTACGAAGCTCGAGGACATTTGAGTAATTCCCTTAAATTCAATCATATGCATTGTTTCTGATAATTGGTCAAGTATGTCATTTCCGAGTTATTTTATACCCTTCGGGGAAGTCTTGGTCTTTTACAGCACAAGGGCATTTTCGTAATTTATTCAAGGTACTCTTTCCGGTAATTTCATATCCAAATAACTCCAATATTTAACCTTTAATAAAATTTATCAAAATTCACATATCTTAAAATCAAATCATTTATTATTGAATCACTGAACTTATTATTATAATTTCCGATTGATCTTCCACTTTGTTAAGCAAGCCATATAATTCATAATTATTTACCTACTTTTTATAATATTTGGATCGAGTTAGGAAGTGAAAACTACATACATGTGACCAAATAAACTCATCCATGCAGAAATCACTACCAACATGTTTCATAAAATATGAAACATGTAGTAATGTATTACTTCAGTTACCGTGCCATATTGATCGACCATTTAAACTCCATTCGATCGCCCTCAAACTTGAATTCAACGTCCAATAATTCCTCGTATACATAGAAACTGAATTTACGTCAGAAACTAAACTTAATTGATAAACCAACTTGAATCTGAAGATAAAATATTGAAAAACGGCTTACTAGGTGCGAATTTGGCAACACATACTTCGGATTCAGACTCAGGATGTCAAAAAACATAAAATATGGTTTTTCGAAAAATTTAACTTTTCGGTCAAAGTTAACGATCAACGGTCAAAGTCAACAGGTTGACTTGGACGAGTTGACTCAGACCGAGTTGACTCGAACAAGTTGACTCAGTGACTAGACCAGATCAGGCAGGCAGGCGGGTCGGGTCGACATGGTTCTAGAAAATTCTCTGGACCAAAACAAGTCCCACGCGCATCGCCGATGCGTGCGGTGGCGACAGAGGTCGGGGCGGTCGGCTGATTCTTCCTGGAGCAATAGTACACTTAAATCAATCCAACATAGCCCATATTCAATCCAAAACAACTTAAAATGTTCAAAATTAGCTCGAAGAGTTTACTCACGTCGGCGACTGGGCGAAACCGGCGACATTGACCCGACCCACCAGTCTGGTTTTGAGCAGATGGAGGTGGTGAGTGTAATGATGGCAGTCGTGAGCCAAACTGGTGTCTAGACTGATCGGAATTGAAAAAAAGGGTGAACGGCGGCAACAAGCACCGAACGACCTTAGGGGTTTTGATTGGGCTGGCAAGGAGAGAAGTTTGGGATGGGCGGTGATAGCCACCGGTCAGTGACGGTCGGGGTCCGAATGGTTTTGCTTGACGATGCTTCATCCTTTCCTCGTGGTAATTGACTATCAATCAGGGTGTTTAAGGGTCGGAGACAGGTTTGCGAGATGGTAGAGAAGCAACTAGAGGTGGCGGTGTGCTCCAACGCTGGCCAGAAGTAACTGGACGACGATGAGACTCGTCAGTGAAGAACAAGTTTTGGGGGATGATTTTGCAAAATTATAAAATATCGGGATGCTTTTTGGGGTTTCACGGGTTTTGATTTTCACTTCCCAAGATAAATGGGCAAATTTAAGGTTGGGTCCCCGAATTTCCTACAACTTTCTAAAATTGCATATAACTTTTGAAAACTTAAAATTTGACCCCTAAATTGAGATATTACAGCTATAAGGCCCTTTTTTCCGTATAGGCTTTATATGATGCATATAGTTGACATTTGGGTGGACGGAAATTAGGACCACCTTGCCTAAGACAAAGTTGTGATCCTATCGTCCCTTCTGTGGGTGTAATGAATTGAACTTGAACAAACAACAAGTATTCGTATTTGTTTGTTTATTTTTAAAGGTGTTTATGTTTATGTTTATATTCGTTTCGTGTTCATTTATTTATTTTTGAAGGTGTTTGTTACTTAGTATTCACCAACATGTTTATTTATATCCATGAACATGTCCGTTTAACGTTCGTGAATATGTTCGTTTATATATCTTTTAGTGTTCGTTGATATGTTTGCGAACATGTTCATTTAGCGCTCACACACACATTCATTTGTAAGTTAAACAATGATAAAATTATGTCACTAGTGTTTAAACTCATTAAGCTTCATAGTTTAAACTCTAAATTTCACCATATGTTCAATTTAGTACATACATCACTAATATTTAAATGTAAAAAATAGCAAGTAAACAAGCTTATAAACAAGCTTCTTCCTCAACATAAATGAACGAATCAATAAATGAGCAACATTTCTCACTTCTTCTTACATATATAAATACCTGATAAACATTTCTCACTTCTTACAATTATTATATACTTGGTATTTGATCTAAGAATGTACAAAAGCAATACTGCAAACACCCTTGAAACTCTGTAAGCAACATTCTAAGTGGATGCCAGAAAGATTCATTTATGTTTTTTTTCAAGATTATTGCTTCTTTTCCTAGTTCATAGTCAAAGCCATTTCCAATCCAATATCTTTGTGAATGCAAACTTTGTTGATGAGATTCCAATGGCAGCCTGCAAGTCAGGGCCGATTTTGGGCCTGTGTGGGCTGCCCAACTGCACAGGGCCCAAATTTTGTAAGGGTCTCCAAAATTTTTCAAATCTTTTGTATATAGGTGTATTTAGGATGTTTAGCCTAAGAATTTTCAAGTCCAAGGTCTACATTAAATAATATTTTAGTTTTAAAAGGCCTATTTTACTGTTATGGCATAGGGCTAACAAAATTTACAAGACGACCATGTTGTAAGTACTCTCTTTGCCACTTCAAGTTCGTGCTCAACTTGAGAACCAGTATATGTTCGAACCTTCATTCGACGGAATCAACATAAACTAGTAAAGTGCTTTATAGCCGAAATAAAAGGAGAAAAAAAGGAAACAATGGCATTAAAACTGAGTGATACTGATACATACAGTCAATTATTATGAAGCAACATTCAACTCAGGACCACCGAAAGAGTGTTGTAATTATTTCAAAACTCAATAATGACTACTGGTGAAGAAGTAAATTAAACTTACAGAAGGAGAGGACCAGCTTCCACATGCAAGAGAAAATGTCACCAATGGTTCAGATATATGACAACGAAGAAACTTCATTATCAATCTGAAAAAGAAAAGAGAAGTGAAGTTTACAAAACAAAGTGAAATGAGGCACCACTTACAAATTTTGAGTGGTAGCCTGGTAGGGAAATCTGATAATGAAATGTTCTATAGTTACTGCATTCAGAGTGCCCCCAAGTCCCAATATTTATGGTTTCTTGTTGTCACCAATTGATTCATAATCATATCTGGACTACACGGTACTCCTTGTTCTAAGTATGTCTGAATCAACATCAAGTGCTGATTTTGTGGCGACTGTTGGCTGGATTTCTTCCTTCTCCTTCAAAGAGAAGAGTTTAACACACAATCAGCCTTATTAAGCCTATAAAGTTGACATTTTCCGGGAAAATTCACCTTGAAAAATACCTACTTTTCCATGCTTCAGTGGAGCTTCCCTTGACTGCAGAGACGGCATGGCTCTGGTATTCATCTTTTCAACGCTCTACTACCTTATCTACAACAAAAACCAAATTCAAAACTTCACCAACAAAAGGAAAACAGACAACTGATCAGATTCAGACCTTTAAGAGAGAGGGAGAGGAGGAAGATGGAGGTTTGCAGAAGGCAAATGGGGTTAATGGAATGTTGTATTTCCATGTTTAAAGCATATGTTCATTTTTTCATATCTATTTTATTCAAATATTTAAATTTTAGTGTAGAATATACATATGGTCCCTTGACTATACGATAGTGTTTTATTGAATCCGGACTAGTCCCCTGACTATAGGGAGTTGTTTTGTTGAGTCCCTTGACTATTAAAAGTTACAAAATGGTCACCCGATTATTCATAATGTTCCAAACTCATCATTTTTCGTAAAAAATTAACGATCATCTGAGTTGGAGGTTAATATGCTGACTGAGATATGATAGTCGTTTGAGATTATGAGATCAAATTTTATCATATCTTAGTCAATAGGTTAACGTCCAGCTCAGACTAACGTTAATTTTTTAATGGACGATGACAAATTTAGAACATAATGAATAGTAACTTTTTAATAGTCAAGGGACTCAACAAAACAACTCCCTATAGTCGGGGACAATTTTATAACTTTTAATAGTCAATGACTAAACAAAGTATTATCCTATAGTTGGAGGACCATTTGTGTAATTTATCCTAAATTTTAATCCATTAGACATGATACGTAATTACATATGGCGTTAAATAAACATTCATCGCTTATTTGGGTATTTATGAATTAATTTTTATATGCATATAAAATTCCATTTATTGAATATAATAATTATGATGAAAGGTGGCAATGAAGGTATAAGAAAATAAAAGTATTTCTTTTAATTTTGTGTTATGAATGAAATGGACGCTCCACACATAATAAAGTGACTGGGACTCCAAAACTGAAATCATTTATACCTTTTAATTTAATTTAGGGTAAATGAACTATTTGGCCATCCACCTATTCTCACATTTTTATTTTAGTCATCCAAATTCTTTTTTGTAAATCATACCCAATCTTAAGTTTGTTTATGTTTTGATCATATGTTGTTAGGTTTTACTGTTGGTTTAACATAAATGGTTATATGACACCATAGAATTGTACTTTTAGTCCCTATAACTTATAAATTGTATCAATTTGGCCATTGCTATTATTTGAAAGTGTACGCTAGGTTTGATCATTTTCAGTGGGTGACCAAGAAACACATAAATTGATGAGCAACCAAATAAATAGTTTACCCTTTAATTTATTCCTTTCAAAACAATATAAAATTTTTTGATTAATTAAATATAATCATAGTGTTAATTTCTCCCAAAAATATTTTTAAAAAGGTAATAAATGGTATAAATATGACTAAAATTATTTTTTCTATTTGATTAATTATGAACCAAACCATATAATGATTACAATGCTATTGTTGGTAACATCATTATATGTATAATTAGAAGCTTTAGAGGAGGGGGTCGCCATTGATATTGAGTTAACGTGCTTCATAAGTTACCAACAAACTGAAAAACTTCAACAAAAACTCCTCCTAATCAATAGAATGTTTTTTTTTTAAAAAGAAAAAGAAAAAGAAAAGTTTAATTAAAATAGTTAAATAACAGCTCATTCATAACTATACGATTTGATAATTCAAAATTAATTATTTAAGCAGGAAAAAGACATTTAAACATTTTTTAGGGGGAATTGAAAACAAATCAACCCTGTTTTATATAATGGGTTTGAAGCCGAGCTAAGACTATAAATAAGACGAGACATATCACGAATTACTCGAATTCGTTCAAAGTTCGGTTAATTCTTGGATCGAACAGACTCGACCTGAGCTCAAATTCTTAACGGGTCGAAGCGAGCTTCTTGATATCCGACTCGAAAAGCTTGTGAACAACTCAAAAAAATATATATTAAAATTTTAAATTGTTTAAATTAAATTATTAATAATATTAACATTTATACGTTGTTCTTTTTTTAAATACAATATAATACTTTCATGTACTTACTTAATGTTCATATTTTTTATTTCAAGTTTTTTTTAGCTCGAGTTAAGCTTCAATTTTTTGATTTCGAGTCAAGATTGAAAATTTTAGGCTCGCAAGCTTTTGAGTCGAGTTTGACAGTTTTAAACTCGTGAGTTTTAAAGTCCACTCAAGCTTAATTTTACACTTTTTAAATCGAGTCGAACTCAATAATATTCAAATTCAAATCGACGGTCCTAAGCCGAGCTATGGGTGTATTGGATGGACTGTCGGCCATATGATCGTTTACCCTACAACATGTGACTCTTGGGACCGACTAGGGATGGGCATGGGTTGAGTCGGGTCGGGTCAGATTTTCGGACAACCCGACCTGACCCTAAAATTATACATCATCGACACGAACTCGACCCAACCCAAAAAATATACACCCTCTGCTCGACCCGAACCCGACTTGATTTTCTGAGATAAAATCTGAACTCCAACTAACCCGACCCGAAATAATAAATTTATTAAAAATATTATTTTTATTCAATAAAAATAAGGATTTAATTGAAAAATAATATATAAATAAATATTATTTTAATTATCTCTTAATATAAAGGTAAAATTATATGTTTTTTTTGGGTTGGATCGGATTAGGTATTTTTCATCCTAAACCCGAACCCGACCCAATCCAAACACAACCTCTAAAAAACTTGACCCGATTAAATTAGATCAGATCAAAACCTTTTAGATTCGAGTCACATGCCGTCCCTAGGACGGACATCATCGGAAATTGTTCAATCATATTTGTCAACAATTAAGCCTAATGTAAATACATAAATTTTATGTGTATTTGAAATAAAAATTTGAGCACTTTAATATATTATTATTTTAAAACATTTTTTCAGTATAATATATTTTTTTTGAAACAAAAGTGTTTGCTTTATTAAAAATGAAAAAAAGTGCGTTCCACCTATTACACAATCAACAATGCAGCCTAATAAAGTAAATGACAGCTATCAAAATAAAATGCAACCTTTAAATAATATTTCCAAAAAAAAATATTTTAGATATCAATTTATCGAAAATATTAATATTTTTGTTATAGTATTTTTTTAGTTATATATTAAGGTTATTGTATGGGGATGTATTAAGTATGACAATCTTAATATACGGTTAAGGAAAGACGCTATTGTAAATGTTAATATTTTTTAAATATTTCGGTAAAACGCTACCTAAAACATTATTTTTCTACCGAAAATATTAATATTAGACGCTACATAAAATGTTTAATATTTTCGATAAAGCGCTACCTAAAACATTATTTTTTTCTACTGAAAATATTAATATTGAGTTCTATCGTAAATTAGTTAGCGAAATTAACATTTCTAGTAAAAAAAAAATTTATGTAGGATTTTTATCGGAAATGTTAAAAAAATATTAATATTTCCGTTAGGACATTTCCTTAGTTGTATATTAAAGTTGTCGTACAGTATAACTACCCATCACGTGGATGTCTCAAGTACTACAGCCTTAATATACCGCTAAGGAAATGCACTACCGGAAATGTTAATATTTTTTTAACATTTTCGGTAAATCACGACATAAAACATTATTTTTTCTACCGAAAATGTTAATATTGGGCGATACTTAAAATGTTTAACATTTCTGGTAAAGCGCTACATAAAACATTATTTTTTCTATAAAAAATGTTAATATTAGATTCGACCGAAAATTAGTTAGCAAAATTAACATTTTTTATAAAAAAAAATAAAACTTTAGATAGCATTTTATTAAAAATATTAAAAAATAATAATATTTTCGATAAAAACTTTCATTAACCTTATATTAAGTCTATCATACAACATAACTATCCAGTATCACGACAAAGAAATAGAACAAAATGGCAAAAGAAATTGCTGGCCTTTCAATTCCTTTGTGAACTTGAGAAAACATTGAACGCACAACACAGAGAAGCTTTCAAGAAATAAATGGAGCCAAATCCTCTAAAAAATCTCCTTTTTCTACAACAGGCTACGGTGGATCTAACCACCGTCTATCCTCCACTGCCTGTCGTTCTACTCTCCATGGGCCTTCTTCAACTAGAAGCGGTCCTCATCTCCTGCATCTGAATCGGTAGCCAACAAATGAGCCGCCGCGTTTGCTGATCGGTGGACGAAACTGAAGCTACATGCATGGAATTCCTTAGCAAAGCCCTTTACTTCACAGGTGAATGGACTAATTTCTGAAAGATCTAGTTCTTCAGATGAAAGTTTTGCTATGACTGTTTTGGAATCCCCTTTCAGGATAAATGTTAGGGAAACCCAAATCTGCCGCAAATTGAATCGCATGAACGGCTGCCACCTCTTTCGTCTGAAGAAGCCGAGGTAACCCTTCTATATATCTTCTACATGCACCCATAATTAATCCCTCATTGTTTCGGATTAAATCCCCTGACCACATTTTCTGTTGTGGGTTCACATATCTAGCATCAAAATTCACCTTGGCTACAAATAGAGGAGGAGGCTTCCACCGCATTAACAATTGCATCGGAGAAGTCTGGATACTTCGATGGGCTACCTCGAACTCCAAACATTGAGCCTACACCGAAGGTAGTAATCTCTTCCATGCGTGACAATCTTTCATCATGAATGGCTTTGTTTCTAGCATACCATAATGCCCACATCGTCACAATTAGTCAGAATGTTTGGATTTCGCTAGATTACTGAAACTCCATTTAAGCCAATCGATTAATGAAACATCATATAACTGGTTAGGCCACTGAAAGCCTAATTCGTTCTAGACTAATTTGGCTAATAAACAATCTTGCAGAATATGAAATCCTGATTCAATCACATTTAGACATGAGGGGCAAAACTGATCACGTAAAATGCGTTTACTGTATAAATTCTGGCGTGTAGGGATGAAATTATGTATAAATTTCCAAACCTGAAGTTCAATTTTTTTGTTGGCACGTACACTCCCAAAGACTTCAAAATAACGTCATATCCGAGGAGTCTAATTCGGGGGTAGGAAATAACCGATATCCGTTTCTCACACTGTAAACTCTGGATTTTTCACCATTCCATACTCAGCAATCTTCATGTTCAAATCTCGCTAGAGGTATCCCCAAAACAATTTTTGCTTCTAGAGCAATAAGAATTCCTCGCACCATATCAGCTTTCCACGATCGAGATCCCACATCTACTAAATCAGCCACAACTTCTACTCTATCAGTTTGAGTGGATGCAACTCGCGATAGTCTCTCATTGGGCAACCAGAAGTCTTTTAGCACACCAAATACCCCTCCAAATAAAAGATGGCGAGGCACCTAAATTTGTCAAAAGAAAATCTCCATTCACGTAGTGTTTCGCCTTAAGTACACGATTGACTAGGGAAGTTGGGTTGGTATGTAATCTATAACCCTGTTTTGCTAAAAGGGCGATATTAAACTTACCCATATCACGTAAGCCAAGTCCACCCATTTCCTTTAAGTGGCAAAGAAAAGACCATTGGTAAAAGTGAATACCCCTCTTATTTTTCTGGCTTTTGCCACCAAAACTGAACCATAACACCTTCCAGTTCTGAGCAACGACTCTTAGGCAATAGTAAGCAAGACATTGCATGTAACGGAATTGCTTGGAGAAAATATTTGATGGAAACTTATTTTCCTCCTTGAGCGAGTGTACGAATGCTCCAACTCCTTACTCGGCTCTGTAATTTATCTTTAATTGTAAGAAAGCTCCCCGTTTCTTACGGCATACTAAAACTGGAAGTCTAAGATATGTTTTTGGATTGGATTCCATGAGTATATTAAAAACCTGTTGGACATCTCCTCGATTCTCCTCAATAACATTAGAGCTAAAAAACAATCCAGATTTATCAAAATTTATCTCTTGTCCTGAACTACCGCCATAAATTCGTAAAATCTCCTTAATTTTGGAAGCTTACCGTATAGTGGCTTCATCGAAAATAAGGCTGTCGTCCGCAAACAATAAATGAGAAATCTTGGGTGTTTATCTATTCAATCGAACACCCTGAGCTTCTCCAGCATCGGTCTCTCTCCTTAGCAAGGATGATAAACCCTCACTACATATAAAAAATATATAGGGATTCAATGGGTCTCCTTGGCGAAGACCCCAACCAGGAAGAAATCGATCACTTTCCACACCGTTCATAACGACGTAATACCAAACAATATTCACATCTTTAACAAATTAATCCAGTACTCCGAAAAACCCATCCGCTCCATAACCAACCAAAGAAAATTCCACTCCTCTCGATCACACGCTTTACTCATAACCAACTTTAAAGCATAATAACCCTATTTACCTTTTCGCCTTTTTAAAAACGAATGTAACATCTCATAAGCCACCACAATGTTATCCATAATAAGTCGCACTGGCACAAAAGCACTATGTGCCTCATCAATACAAAATTATAGCAACCTTTGCATACGATTTACCAGCATCTTGGAAATTATTTTGTAAATAACGTTGCAAAGACTGATAGGCCTAAATTGGCTCAAATAGGTTGGATTCGTCACCTTGGGGATTAAAACGATATGGGTGTGATTAATAACATTCATCGCATACTGTCCATGAAGAATAGCAATACAAAAAGAAGCAATTTTTGCACCAAACAAATGCCAAAACCGTTGGTAAAATAGTGCCCCCAAATCATCCTCTCTAGCGATTTAATAGCAGTGGTAACCTCCTCAAAGGTAAAATCTCGGCTCAACTCAACATTCATGTCATCAGAGATACATCTTCTAATACCCTCTAATATTCTATCATCAACATTTGAAAACGAGGTTGTGAACAAATTATTAAAATACACTAGTGCAACTAACTCCATTCCAACTTCTGTTTCCACTCTCAAACCAACATCATTCGTAAGGGCCACAATCTTGTTTTTGCATTTGCGTTAGGAAGCAAATATATGAAAGAAATTTTTATTATTATCCCCTGCCTTCAACTGGTTCACTCGTGCCCTTTGTTCACAGTACAACTTATGTTTGTCTGCTTCCAAATTCATTTGTAGTCTAGTATCCACGATCTCACCTAACACTTCATCACTGATATTTAACTCCATCAAATCCGCCAACCTATGCTTGAAATCAGACATCGTTAAGCGCTTCTGAATGCAAATATTTTTGAACCAGACATCAAGTCCTTGACAGACTTGACTTAATCTTTCTGGAACCAAACCCTCAGATGCAACCCAAAGCCTTTCAACCTCCGCTGCACAACTATCCTCAAGCAGCCATGCATGTTCAAAACGAAAATGTCACCGTCTCTCACTCTTTCCTTTCCGGTCGGTATCCAACAAAAGAAGACAATGATCTGAGATAGAATAAGGAAGATGTTGTAAGGACAAATCACCGAACATATTCCTCCACGAATCAGAAGCAAGTACTATGTCCAAACGTTCATGGATATTTGTCCCTGCACTCCTACCCCGCTCCCACGTAAAACATTGACCCTCAAAACCAACATCCGTAAGACCACAATCAGCAATGACTGAACGAAAGTCAATCATTTGACGCTCCTGTCAGAGTAAACCCCATTCATTCTCAAAAGAGAACATGATTTCATTAAAATCACCTAAAACTAGCCAAGGCAAATCAGACTATTTAGAATTCGTAGAAGAGCCCAAGAATTCGTCCGATGTTGTACTTCCAGGGCTCCATAGAAGCTTGTACATCACCACTGTCTACCATCCACATCGTCTTTTATCATTACATCAATATGGGAACGAGACATTGATTGCATAGTCACCTCGTCCATAATCTTCCATGCCAAACAGAAGCCCCCTTGTCCCCAAGGGATCTACTTCAATTCCATGCCAATGACCACATGATCTTCTAATCTTCACCATCTTGTCTTTTTGCACTTGTCTCCATGAAGAAGACCACAGAGGGATTAATATCTCTCAACATATGCCGGAGATGACGGACTATCCAGGCATCCTCAATCCCCGGATGTTCCAACTCAGTATTTTCATTGCTCCCGGTTGGCCTGGTGACACAAGCCTACCTATACATTAGGGATTCCAGTAACTTGGTCCTCAAAAGTCATCGGTGCTACTGGGGCACTCCGTTGTCTTTTTACACTTTCACACTTCTTCAAAAATCCTTCTCTTCAATTCCAGTCATCTCTACATCAAAAGGCTCCGTCGGTCAAATGTTAGTCCCTGCTGGTTTAAAAGTGCTTTCAACCCAAAGCTTAGTTTGTCTTCTCAAATTACTGTTTGAAAACTGATTTTTTTTCAGGCACCATTCCCTTTTCACGAACCAGGTCCGCATTCCCACTTTCATTCCTCAACCACGGGCTCATCATCATTCGTTTCTTCCTTGGAGGCACCCTAATCGAAAGATCCCATTGAGCCACCTGATCTTTCTTCTCCTGTAAAAAGCTCATTGGCAAATATTCTTCCCATGTCTTAGTTTTCCACACAAAAAAAAAAAACAAACGAAGTTTTTCATATTGGAAAGTATCATTGCTGATCTTACCATTCGAAAGGGATAATCGTTCCTTTCGTTTTAATGGCTTCCATACATCTAAACCCACACAAATCCACATGCAGCCCCGATAACCTAATGAAACAACAATCGCATCATATAACAAAATGCAGCCAATAAAGTCTCCAATCTTTTTCGTCACTTGTTCAAAAATAAATCCCACCGGTAAATCGTTAATCAACATCCAAAAATTAATGTTGAAAAGCTCCACCTCCATTGGATCATCTCCCAACTGCAACGGATGAATTAATATATGGGAATTAAAACACCAAGGCCCTTCTATCTCAACGCGAGTCACATCCACTTCATGGAAAAATCGAAACAGATATCTTCCTTTCCCCAATTAAGTAATAGAAATCCCCCAATTGGATGCCAAACCTTGTCCAAAGTGTTCTTCATTGCTTGAAAATTAACCATTGGGGCATTAAGAAAACGACCCACCAAACAGTAGTCGAAAGAAACTTGTGTAGAACTATCTGTTTTGACAAAAACCAAATCATCCTCCTCATCATCATCCAAACACAACTCTTCCAAATCATGTGTAACATCCCCCATCACTTTTAATCCACCATGCAACGCACTAACTAACAGAACTAGAGGACTGAGAACCACTCGGAAAACTACCAAGAAAGTAGAAAACGGCTTACCAAGAACAGTAGAAACCCCAGCACAGAGGGTTATCAGTAGAATAATTATTACATTTGAATAACAATATTTAAAAATATAAAAATTTATTACAATATTAAATAACTTATTTAAATTATAATTACTCAAAACTCAAAATTTAAAAAAAAAATTAAAATATTAAAAAATTTAGATATTTTCATTGGATAAGACTTCAATTATCTTTCGCCAGTCTATTTCTAATACTATTCTTTGAACATATTTTCAATGGAATCAACTTACATAAGAGTAATAATAGCTTTTAAGGTGTATTCTCATAGTTTAAAAATGATGGGATAAAGTTTACACCAAAGTAATATTCACGACTCTTATTTTATATCTCAAATTTTGATTTCATAGATATAACGGAGAGAACAAGATGAAATATATTTGCATTTTTTCACATTAAAATAAGATTACTAAGGTCCAAAATAATATTAATGACAATCAATTTGGTGTAAAAAAATAAAGAAGAATTTGATTTTTATTTTTACTTTAATATAATTTTGATTCCGCTGAAAATGTTCAATGAATAGTAGACTCTTATTGACGAGAGACAGTCGAAGATCTTTTTGATGAAAGTATTTAAAATTTTAACACTTTATAAATATTATTATATAATTAAAATTTTAAATAAGTTTATTTAATAATTTAATATGTTTTATAATTTTAAATAATGTTATTCTAATATAAGATTGATTTCACTAAAAATATGTTCAATCAATAATATTTGACTCAAGCTGACGAGAGTTAATTGAAAATTTTTCTGATGAAAGTATTTTAAATTTCAAAATTTTAATAATTTAAGATTTTATAGTTTCTTATATATTTTTTAATTTTTAATAGTATTTTTATTTTTATTAATTTTTAATATTTTAATTTTTTAAATTCTTTTTGCTTAAAGATTAAGTAAGCTCTCGAATTTTAAATTAAAATCAAGTATGTCCTCAAGCAAAATAAAAAAAATCAATTAAAGTTGTGTATCATGTCATCATTCACACATTAACCATCATGTCAACATCATAGACTATCATATCAATATTGTTAACTGTTATGTTAGCAGCATAATAATTAACGTTGATCAAAAAGTGAATTTAATACAATTAAATGAATTTAAGAAAAATATTATAATTAGAAAGTAAGAAAAAAAAATTGTAGATTTAAATTTACTAAATGGATAAAAATAGCCAATAGCCTAGAAATATCCCTCTCTCATTAAAGAAATAGAAAATTCCACAAATTATTTGTTCAAGGATTCAAATCTCATTCACTTCATGTTTGGGCATAAAAAGTTTTTATTTTAAAAAAAAAAGCCAAATAAGCATATTGGATTGGTTTTAGATTAGATCAATTCAAATTTTAAATTATTTTTAAACTCGATTGTTTAGGTCTTCTTTATTTGAATTTGAAAATCAATTAATTCAAACGCCATTAAAATTGATAAGAAGGTAGAGAGAAAGTCGCTTGTGGTTATAAGCTAACTGCTAGCCTAGATAGGACCACATAATCAAATTGAAATTTATTATGCTATAAATTAATGTTTGATTAAACTGAGGCTAAAAACAAAGGCTAATTTATAGATTACATTATCAACTAAACAATCTCACAATTAGTAGAAGCTTTTTCATTAATGTTTTCTTCTCCAATCAGCTTGAAAGAAATTAAGTGGGTGATTAAGCTCTAAAAGTAAAAGTCGTAGTTCTTTTTTTTCTTTTTTAATGCGTCGTCGTTAGTCATTTTTCTTCTTTATCTAATTGATCGTCAACGGTACTAATTTTAATACCGTTGATATTCATTATTTTTCTTTTATTTTAGAATATCATATATTTGTTTTTTTTTAAATTTTTAATAACTATACTTTTGTATCACATTTTCTAGGTACCATTTATATTGCCTTTATGACAAGTTTTCTCTGTTTTTTTGACATACTTTCAATCGTTTGATTGTTGTTGTTTTTTTATCATTTTTCTCAAGATTGAATTTGATATCGTCACAACTGATCAAGATGACGCTTATTTATTATCATGCTGATCTTTCTTATTTTGGACACTCAAATTGGATATATATATACACAATTTACGTTCGTGGATAATTTTCAACTGTCGCTCGACTTTGATTTACGGTTTGTCGGTGACAATAGCTTGATTCCCTCATGTAATTTGTTTGTCAATATAATTAAATATATTTATATCTATCTTTTGTTCAAGTTTATTTTGTTATATTTATTAACATTTTTCTCGTATGTTTCTTGTGTTATTTTAAATGGTTATTTTCTTGTTTTATTGATTATAGGAAAATGTTCTTATTATATACTTAGTTTATGATTATGATTGTAAACTCTCGTTTTAATTTAGATATTTTATATTTTTAATAAAATTATATTTATATATATATATATATATATATATATAAAGATTTTACCTTTATAACACATAACATCTCTCTGATCATAGCGGTTTCAATCAACTAGCTCTGAAACTGAAACATCTGATACAAATCGAACGACAAGAAAGAGAGTAAATTCCATTGTTGAATAACACTGATTCCCAATCCCTCATTTGGGGCCATGGTGGAAACTTGAAAAAGATAGAAGAGGCATAGATTGAATATGTTACCAAACATTACTCTTTTCATTATAAAACAAAGATATTAGGACCTACCAAATTTCCACCATATATTTTCTATATTCATATATACCATCTATCTATATTCAATATAAATATGGAAATATGAATGAGAAAGTAGATTTGGTCTTTGGTCAAACTACTCATCTTTGTTTTCTCATATTGTCTTAAGTCATCTTTGTTAATCAACTCACACTAGCATGGATGATCACTACAATTTAAACACTATCTTTTATCTTACTTGATAAAGATGGTCACTACTGTATAAAGAATCATTAGAAAAGGACATATTTCCAAGTTACTAAAATGGTGTTTGAATATATGTATATTAGCAGCAAGCAAGCAAGGAATAAATTCTTAGTTATGAAATGTAACTTATTATTCATAAAGCACACTACAACCAAACACGTCAGCCCGGTCATATATTCCAACCAACAAGTTTCCCTTTAACTCACGCATAAATTAAATAATGAATCCAATCCCTAAAAATCCAAAAACGTACTTAAACAACGGGTCAAAATTCAGTTCCAATCCAGATTTGGCGATTTTTATGTAAGAATTCCACAGAACCCAGAGAGCTATGGAGTAACAACTGACAAGGCAGTCCCCCCTCTCCCCCCCCCCCTTTTCCCCCTAGTTTGAGCATTACTTAGTAGAGCTACAACTCCTCCCTCCTGCTGTTATTATTTCAGCTTACCTGCTGCTGCTGATTACCGTTGAAGGGATAAGCCCCATATGCGGTGGCTGCAGCTGCGTACATGCCTACGCCATTAGGTGGCGGAAAAGCATAGCCATAACCATCGTAGACCTGTCCTCCATAGTAAGCTCCACTCCATTGGTTACCATAATCAGCCCTAAACTGCATTATCCCAAAATAATAGATTACATAGAAATAATTTAACAATGAATGGGAGAGTT